ACATTGCTCTCTATCTGGAGGTGTTTACCATGCTTCATCATGAGTCCTTTGGAACTGTAGTTAGGTCATTCTGTTGATCAGTGATACTAAGTCTTTCAAAGTTGACTATCTTTATGACATTACTGTTGCTATATAAGCAGTTCCCCTGATTCTGCTTATTTCATTTTGCATCAGTTCATATAAATCTTCCCAAGTGTTTCTGAAACCATCCTCTTCATCCTTTCTTACAGCACAATAATTTTTCATCATATTCATTTACCCTTACTTATTCAGACATTCCCCTAATTGAACTCCTCAGTTTTCAGTTCTTTGCCACCACAAAAGAGCTGCTATAAATATTTTTGTACATATGGGTCTTTTTCCTCTTTCATCACTTTAGAGTATAGACTTAGGAGCAGTATTGCTGGGTAAAGAAGGATTCTGTGTGGTTTCCATGGACCGAGGTAAGGGAACACAGGGAAGCTCTTTCTCTTATAAGTAAACCTCTTCTCCTATAGGTAAAACTGGGGGCAGGCTAAAGAATGAAGGTGGGAGCACTGAGAATCCAGAAATAAACTTTGATAAGCCAAGACCTTGGGTTCACTGAGGAGAGGGGGCGGGGAAGAAAGAAGTGGCCAAGTAGAGTTGGTCATGTCTCTCTTTCTAGCCATGATCTTTTCTAATGGCATGAATCTGACCTTGAGTAAAGAGGCTGCAAGGTCAGGAGAAGTGTGGGGGTCAGTATCAGATTAGGATAGAATTTTTATCTTCAATCGCCAACTCCACTTAATGAGGATGTCACATAGACTATCTGGCCCTCATCTGTGCTCTCTCATCTCTTTAGTTGTTTACAGTTGGATACGTCACCATTTTGGGCATCTAGGAAGTGCAGTATTTAGAGTGCTGGGCCTGGAGTCTGGAAAACTCATCTTCCTAAGTTCAAAGGCCTCAGACATTTATTAGTTGTGTGACCCTGGGCAAGTCACTTGACCCTGTTTGCCTCAGTTCCTCATCTGTAAAATGTGCTGGAGAAGACAATGGTAACTACTCCAGTATCTTTGCCAAGAGAACTCCACATGGGGTCCTAAAAAGTCAGATATCACTGAAACAACTGAACAACAATAACAACAGCATCTCGTCACCACTTGGTCCCTCAAACCAACTGAATCTTCTGAAGACCAAGGTAGTTGGCTCCCTTCCTCCTTGTCCTAGACAGCATCTAACCGTGAATAACAGCTTCTTTGAGGAGAGACTTCAGCAAGGGTCTGTTAATGCCACTAGGGTATATTAGCATTCTGACTTATTTGATGACATTCTCTTTCAGCTCCTCCATTCATGGTGTTGAATGACTAATGCTGGATTCTTTGCTTTTACTCTCCTGCATCTCACATTCTGTTGTTGGCTTGTACAGCTACAACTCCTGATCCACCATCTGTAAGGAGGGATTAACAAAACACAGTCCATTTTCTGGGCTTTTCCTGGACTCTGGTCAAAAGCTACAAGGGCACATAGTTTTTATAGAAAGACCTGAGCCCAGATCCTGAACCCAGATGACTTAAGGCAATAGTATGAGCTAGTAGAAAAAAACATCAATATAGTCTTTAATCTGCAATAACAGAAACATAGTGTTCAGGACTAGGAAGGCAATAGTGCTATTGTACTCTGGCTGGTCAAACCACCTATGGAAGATTCTATCCAATTTAAGGGACTACATTTTAGCTCTTCCACCATGTACCATCTTGCATTTGAGTATATTTGAGTATATTTAGTATATTCTCCAATCTGTAGATCCCAAAGCATGGTTGGACTTTGAAGCCTCATCTGATAGATATTTATGCCAGTTGCTTTCCTAACTCCCACCCCTAATGCTGTTGGCCAGAATTGGCATTTTGAAGGGAACATAGGAAAGTCTAATTGTCCACTCTGTTCAGTGACATCATTTATTGCCATCCCGCAACTCTCTTACCCACTGCAGATCTCCAGCTTTGGGGAAATGAAAAGTAGCTCCTCCTTGTTGGAGTTCAGACAGGAAGAGAGAGGGCCACCTGTCTCAGGCTTGGCCTCATTTCGCAGGGTGTCTGCTGTTGGCAGGAGCTATTGTGGATCTGGGCTGTGGCTAGTAGCTTTGTGAATTCAAAAACTTAATTTTACCATTTCATTGGTGGCAAGCAGGCTCCAGAGGACTGATTCACTGACCAAACCCACAGAGACTAACCTGCCATTGCAGATATATCTGCCTTCAGAATTCTTTATCTGGACAGGGTCATCCTGGTGGGCAGATCCACTCAGAGGTTTAAATTATAGATCAGAAAGTTGCTTGGTGACTCCAGAATTAGAGCAAAGGGAGATGAATATTTTAGGGGATATTCCCTTTAAGCAAAAATCAATTTCACATGTACAAAGATGGCAGAGGTGTGGGTGGATATCGGTTTGGATGGAAAAAAACTGAGGATTTGGGGAATTCAACATAACAGTAGTACGAGCCAGACACATTACTATAGTCTTTAATCAGCAATAACAGAGGTTAGGTAGGCTATAGTGCTATTGTACTCTGCCTGGTCCTCCACCTCTGGAGGGACTACATTTTAGAAAGGATACTAACAAGTGAGAGAGTATCCAGAGGAAGGCAACAAGGATGATAACGAATCTCAGGATTCTGCCGTATGAACACTGACTGAAGGACATTGGTTCAGATCCTGGCTTTGCTGCATGCTACCTGATGAGCTTAGACAAGTAATTTCATCCCTATGAGCCTCAGTTTCCTCATCTGTAAAATAAGGGATTTGAATAAAATGACCTTCAAGATCATTTCCTTCCAGCCTTAAATCTATGAACTTCTGAAATGGAGGTGTCCAGCCTGAAGAAAGAAAAAAGAAAGCCTGGGGGTGGGAGAGGCGGGGGTAGGAGAATGGGAACCCTGTCTTCAAGCATGTGAGAGGTTATCCAGTGGGAGAGGGTTTGGACTTGAGGTAATACAGTGCAGTAGATAGGGCACTGGACCGAGTGAGGAAAACTTGTGTTCCAATCCTGCCTCTGACATTCACTAGTTGTGTGACCCTGTGCAGGTGACATAATCTCTCTGTGTTTCAATTCCTTCATCTGTGAAAGTGGGAAGTAGGTGGAATTGGTACCCTTCTAGGTCCCTTTCAGCTCTAAATTTATGATTCTATGTCTCAATAACTTATTCTGCTTGATCACAGAGGGCAAAAGGAGAAGTTACAGATAGAAGTTGGAAAGTGGAGGAATTAGCCTTGATGTCAGAAAAACAAACAATTTCCTAACAAATCTCTCCCCAAATAGAACGAGCTGTCTCAGGAAGTAATGGTTCCCCCCTTCCCCAAGATCTTTGAGCAATGATTGGGTGACCACTCCTCAGGGGTGTCAGAAGAGGGGATTCTTGTCCAGGAGTGGATTGGACTCTGAGCTCCCTTCCCACTCTGAGTTTCCGTGACTCGGTGATATATATTTATACAGCTTGATGAATTGCCCTTCTCTACTCCAGAGATATTTCTGTCTAATGAAGCGGGACTGATCTAGAAACAGAGCAGCCTCTTCCCTGGGCACTGCTGGAGACGCATTCACGAATGCTACCATATAACTCATTTTTTTTTTCAGTGCTCCTTTTCTGTCATCAAATGCTTCGGTCATTGCTACATAACCTGAGAAAGGACATGTTACAATTAATCTATTATGTCTTATCTCGCATCAATTACATCTCAGAGTTAGCGTCTTCCTCACAAGGAAAGGAGAGGTCCCTTTAGTACCTTCACAGACCATTTCTTAGTGTAGCTTATTACTGGGAAGATTTCCACAGATGACCAAATCTCAGCTATTTAGGTGAACCCTTGTCATCTTTAATTTCAGAAGGTAATATGTTTTGTTCTTGTTGCTGAATTCTAGGGGTCCAGTCTACTTTGAGTCTGCAGCTACCTATGTTTTGCCCAAATTATCCCCCTCTACCTATTCTAGTCTCCAGCCAAACTGGACTATTCTCTCCCCTCCCTTCATCTCTCTCTCCATCCTAAACACCCCTGAGCTCCACTAGCTCCACTCAATTGGTGAGACTACCTGTGCTTGCTATGTCATCCCACCCCCTCATTTCCTATTGAATTCCTAGCCCTCTTTATAAGCCAATGCAAATGTCATCTCCTTTAGGAAACACGGCACAGTAGGAGAGAATACTAGATTTGAAGTCAGAGACCTGGGTTCAAATCTTGGCTCTGCTACTTACTATCTGTGAGACCTTGGGTAAGTCGCTTAGCCACTCTTAGCCTCAGTTTCCTTAAGTGTAAAATGAGAGATTGGACTAGTTGACCTTGAAGGTCTCTTCCAGCTCTAAATCTGTGATTTCCTAAGATGATGCCTTTCTCTCCATTGCATATATTTTGTAGTTCTTGAATGTACTTAATGTATATTTCATATTATAGTTATCTTTGTAGACATCTTCTTATCCCTCCACTAGGCTGTAAACTTCAGAAGGATAAGGCCTTTGTCTTACCTAATTTTTTATCTTTCCTAGCACATAATAGCAGTGTACTGTGTACCAGAGGTATTAAATGTTGACTGGCTAAATAATTAAGTAGAAAGTGAGTTAAAAAGTATACATAGTAGAATTTTAAAATCTCAATTCCCATTTCTTAGAGTTAAGTTTCATGGAAAATGTCAAACCAAATTCCTTACACATTAAATTCTTGATTATGAAGAGGAGCAATGGTTTAGATAATATAAACAACAGATAATTAAAAATCATTCACATTTGGCTTTGTAATGCATAGCAGGAGATATATTTTTTAGTACTACAATTACCCTTATAATTATGCTTTGCTTAGGTTAACAATGAAATGAGTTTGTTTTTCTAGAGCACAGAGCAGAAAGAGGCAGATCAGATGCATCAAGGGGGAAACATGACTGGAAGTCTTAAACATTCAGCACAGACGATCCAAAAATGCAGTCACTTGAAAAGTGGATAATTGAGAATTGACTATATTCTCTTCTTCCTTCCATTCTCCCCTGTCTTCCAGATTATCATTGAAGACATTGGCAACAAAAGAAAATATGATTTCCCGCTTGATCGATGGCTGGCCCTAGATGAGGATGATGGCAAAATCCAACGGGATATTCTGGTGGGAGGTGCTATAACCACAGGTAAAGATTGGGGAAAGAGGATCATTTTTAGGGTAGAGCCAGAATCCCTGCTGCATAGCCACTATCTCATGATAATCAACAAACAGGTGAAATGCTTGTGTATGAGAGCTTGTTCAAAGATAAAACATTTATTAGACTGTACAAAGTATCTGAATAGCATGATCCTTTCATTACATGTGAAGCATGTGTCAAAATAGACCTATGAAGATAGCTCTACAGGATCAGCTTGATGATCTTATCAGCCCAGGTTTCCATCTCTGGTAATGGCACCATGACTGTAAGAAGTCACTCAAAGACTGGGGAAGAGCCCCAAACAGTCCAAACTTCCTTTTCATTTAATTAATCATGGATGTATCATTTATGACACCAACATTCTTTCCCATCTTACTGCCTATTTACACATTGTTACTTTCCCCAGCAAGTAGTTAGGAGTAAAGTGTAGGGGAATGGACTATGAGTCTAGAGACCTGGATTCTAGTCCTGGCTCTGACTTACTTGGCATGTGACCTTGGACAAGCTGCTTTGTCTCCCTTTTTCATTTGTAAAAAGAGGATGTCAATCCCTGGTCTACCCATCTCCCAGGGATACTGGAATGAAAGATTTAGAGCTGGAAGGGACCTGAAAGTCGTATAGTCCAACCTCTTCAATTTACAAATGAGGAAACTGAAGCCAGATAGATGACATGACTTGCCCAAGGTACTACAAGTGATCAATGGCAGAGTCAAGGCTTGAACTTGGGTCTTTTGAGTTCCAATTCAACATTCTTTCCATTATACAATGTGAAATAAATATATACAATTTGAATAGTTAAGGATACTGCAGAATGTGAAGAGGTAATGTTATTCTTTCCCCAGCCGAGGTGGAGCTGGAGGAGTGACCATTTAACTTATTTTAGTAGGTTCTTGAGGTAGCTCCAGCTTAATTCAGCACTGTCTATGGGTGGCCACCCCCTCCATTGTGGCTCAGCTTGGTTCATGTAGGCCTGGGGCCACTCCTAGCTCCAGGAACTCCTTTGAAAAACTTTTGCTTGAGAGCTCCTGGTTTGATATTGAGGGAAGGAGGAGAACATGACAGAGTCATAATGGAGGATGCGAGGGAGCAAAGACATCTAGGAATGGAGGACAAAGGCACAAAGATATGGGATGGAGTGTCAAGTGTAAGGAACAGCAAGGAGGCCGGATTGTAGTGGGGTGGGATGGGGTGGTAGGGATTAATGTGTAATAAGTCCAGGTAGGTAGGATGGAATAAGGTGGTTAAGAGAAGGAAGGAGGAAGATTGAAGAAGGCAAGGAAGAGGTGAAGGAGCTTTCACCTTCCTTTTCTCTACCAACTGAGCAGGCTTCCTTTAAGTCTCACCTAAAATCTTATCTTCTACAGGAAACTTTCCCAACCCCTCTTAATTTTAGTGCCTTTCCTCTGTTAATTATTTCATACCTATCCTGTCGATAGTTTATGTTTGTTTATTTGTTGTTGCACCCATTAGATTGTGAGCTCCTTGAGGGGAGGGGCTATTTTTTGCCTCTTTTTGTATTCCCAGCTTAGTACCTTATGTACCTTAGTAGTTTATGTACCTGGTACATAGTAGGTACTTAAGAAATGTTGATTGAATGACAATCACTACATCTGTAACAAGATATAGGCACTCTTATTAGGTGCCGTGCCCTTTTCCTTCTGTTTGTAGCACAGAAATGGATGTTGTCTATCCTTGCCTTCTCACCACCTTGCTCATCCTGACTGCCCGCCCCTGACATCACCTCAGTTCTTCCAAAAAGGGTAGGGTGGAGTAGTAGAGGACATGTGAAAAGACTCACAAGATTCTAGAGCCTGAAGACACCTTAAAGACCATCAAGTCAACCCACTCCATTCCATTTTACAAATAACAAAACTGAGTGCTAGGTGAAGTGGATTGTCTAAGATAGCATAGGTAACTTGAACTTGAACTTGAATCCAGCTCCTTTGACAATATTGAATGCTGGTTAGTGCACTCATTTAACAAACATTTATCAGCTGCAAAAACCATGCTAGTATTTGGGGAAGATATGAAAGTCATTAAGACATAATTTCCTGCTTTCTAAAATGGAGGATGCTTTGGCTTTGAGAAGGAAAGGCATGAGGCAAAGTTTAATAAAAAGAGTTTCTGTTTGACCTCTTTGCTTTCTGCATCTCTCTCATATCTCCTAGTTCAATCTCTCCCTGACTTCTCCAAATCTCACTGTCCTCATGCCTGTCCTCTGCTTATCCTGAACTCCACACCGAAACATTCCCCTCAGACCTGCCCTACCTCTCACAATTCCAAAATCACCTCTCCCTTGCCAATCAAAATGTATGTTCCCTTAAGAAAAGCAATTCAATTAAATTGCATTGCAGGCTTTGCATTCTGCAGATTTGGCTTGCAGCCTGCTCAGCCCAACTCCTTGTCTTTCTCCACCAGCAGTGTCTGGATATTGAAAAACACTAACTGCCAGGCTTTACCTTTTCTATTTCTCTTTCATCAAGAGAAAGCCTCACCTGACCCCTTAGTCTCCTAATTAGAACACTAGTACCACCACCTCCCCAGCAAAGCTATCAATTTCCTTTCCTTCCCTGATGATCAAAGAGGGGGTATGAATAGCCTAAGTGTTCTCCCTGGGTGATCTGCCCATCCTTAGGTTCTAGTAATTGGAAAGACAATGTACTCTGTGATTCTAGGGTCAACTGAACTCAAGACAATCTCTTTTAGTTATGCCATTCATTCTAGAGCTCACCCTGTAGCATCCTCTATTCAGTCTGTATACAAAGGAATGCTATGGTCTGGTATAAATGGTGGTATCCCTTTTGAATTCCTTAGTGTTTTGGACCTTTTGAACTTCCATACTTATATGCTACAAGTCTACCTGATTTTAGTAGAAACTAAAGTTACATAGAAAAATTATCTGTTGGTTGTTATTGATGCCTGACCCAGTATTCATTCCGGAAACAAGGATGGTATTATCTTCATTAAATTCAGCAGACACTTAAGTGCTTAGCACTGTATGTAAAGCACTGTTTTAGGCACTGGGGGTTTTACAAAGGCTAGGTAAGACATCACTTCTACACTCATGGAACTCATAATCTAGAAGGGCATGGCAGATATATAGATAACTATAATATAAATAATGCATCATAAAGTACATTAGAAAGATGCAAAGTCATGGGTAGGGGGAGTCATTACTGAGTGGAGAGGATCAGGGAAGGTTTCATGGAGGAAGCAGCACTTGACTTAGAAAGGTGAGTGCTGTTCTTACACCTTTATGGAGAGTTTTAAATCCCTGGCAAAGAAATTTGAAATTCATATAAGTAATATGTATTTGCTAAGATTTTGAGCAGGACTGTGATATAACTAGATCAATAAATAAGGAAAATTCGTCTAGGAGTGGTGTGAAGGATAGGTTTGAGAAGAAATAGAATTGAATTTGGAAAACCTATCAGAAGGCTACAGTAAAAGTTGGGCAAGTGGTAATAAGATAGCATAGTAGGGTGGTAGCAAGGGGAATAGGAAGGAGAGAACAGATGTGAGATATATTGTGGAGACTGAATTGATAGGACTTGGTAAATGTATCTGAGAGTTGAGGGAGAAAAAAGAATAAAAGACAACACTAATATTCTAAGAATGGGGTAATGATAATGCCACTGGCAGAAATAGTAAAGTCAAAAGAAGGATTAGGCTTGGGTAAAAGATAATAAACTTAGTTTTGCACATGGTGAGTGTGAGGTGCCAGTGGGCTATTTAGATGTCTTTTAGGTAGTTGTAGGTATGGGGCTTGGCCTCAGCAGAAAGAGCAGGGTTAGATATAAAAATCTGGGAGGCAGCTGTGGAGGTGATGGTTGAAGCCAAGGGAGTGGACAAAATTGCCAAGAGATAGGTTGTAGAGAATAAAGAGGTGAGGGCCAAGAGACAAAATCCTGGAGGAAACTCACTTTAAGGGATTATGAGGAGAGTGAGAAGGTAGGCAAAGAGACAGAGAAAGAGATTAAAATCATAAAATGATTAAAATAAAGTGCTTTATAAAACTTAAAGCATCACATAAATGCTAGCTTTATTGTTGCTGTTGTTTTGTCCTTCATTTTCAAAGAGGACCAATGACATCACAGGGTGATGTCTTGATTTGTACATGAATTGGATTTAAGTGAGGCAGAGTTGCACAAAATCGTCAGCCTCACTCTCTTCCTGGAAAAGAGAGTTATTGTTATTAGCTATCTAAAGGAGTGGGAAGAGAGGCAGAAAATAGTGGTGTCTTTGAAGTCAATATGAGAAAGGCTGTTCTGAAGGAGCAGGTATTTAACATTATAAAATGCTGCAGATGAAGATAGAGGAGAAGGGGGGAAAAAAGGCCATTTGATTTGGTGATAAAGTGTCACTAGTGATCTTTGAAACAATAGTTTCACCAGTAACTGGGCTGGAAGCCTGACTGAAAGGAGTGTATCCTAGAGAAAAGAAACTCAGAGAAGAAGGACTCCATAACTCTCTTCAAGTATCTGGAGAATGTTCATGAAGAGAAGGGAGCAAACTTGTTTTGCTTGGCTCCAGAAGGCAGAAGTAGGAGCAAATGGGGTAGAAGGCAGAACAAAGAGACAGATTTAGGCTTGATGTAAGGGAGATGCTCCTAACAATTAGAGCTATTCGGAGGGAATAGTAGGTTCCTCTCATTGGAAGTCTTTGAGTGAAGAGTGGATGACCACTTTGGAGGGGAGGGGGTCACTGGAGGGGATTCCTGCTCAGAGTTGGGCTGATCTAATTAGTCTTTGAGGTCCCTTCCAACTTTGAAATTCTATGATTCTGGGTTGAGAAGAGACTGAGTGGTAAGGAAGTGGAAGCATCAGGTATAGACACATTTTTCAAGAAGTTTGGAAGTGAAAAGGATGAAACAGATGAGAAGCAGCTGAGCAGTTAGGATACTTAACATTGAAAGGGAAGAAGACAGATGGAACAGTCACTGGATACAGTAGAAGAGACAAGGGAAGGATTTTTTAGGATTGGGGTGG